GGGGGCAAAGGAGCACCCTCCCCCCAGCCGGCCCTGGCTGCTCAGGGCTCAAGTGTCCTGGCCCATGGGGGAGGCCAGGTCACCCCCTTGGGATTGGAATGTCGGAGGTGGCAGCAGTGGGGGGGGAGGACATTCCCAGCAGGGCAGGCGCCGTGGTGGCAGCTGCTGGGCCCCCGCCTGTCCTGTGTCCCCTGAGTTGGAGGCTGCAGCTGGTGCGGTGGCTTTGGTTCCTGGGGGGAGGTGTTATTTTGGGGGTAGGGGTGTGGGAACGTGAGAGGCGCCTCCCCCCAGGGCAGGAAGTGGGGTGGTCCCAGCTGTGTTCTCCCGTTGGCCCACCTGTCCCAGTGGGCACCACAGGCCACCGCACAGGAAGTGTTCCCAACGCCCCGCCTGTGTGGCCTCCTGAATCTGGGGCCCAGAGGGGAGGCAGCCAGTGGGGAGGGTGCAGGGGCCCGCCACTGTGAGTCAGAATCTTCCAGAAGCCCCCAGGTGCGGTAACAGCAGTGCCTGTGGAGTAAGTGCTTATGCATTTATAGACTGTTTAATCCAGCATCTTGGGGAAGGAGGGACTAATGATGAATTTGAGTTTTACAGGTGGGGATACTGAGGCTCAGAGACGCAAGTGACTTGCCCGAGGTCACACAGCATGTAAGTAGCAGAGCTGGGAATCTCATTAGCATTTACTATCAGATACACTAACTCAACATAGACCTCCAACCGTATAATGTGGACAGGGGCTACCACCTGGGTTCAGTTCTGCTCCCAGAACCCTCAGAGATTCTGTCTCCACTGGGGTGTCTGGAGACCTTTTTGGTTGTTCCGACCGGGGGTACTCCTGTCACGGAGTAGGTGGGACCAGGGAAGCTACTCAGCCCCCCATCCCCACAGTGCCTGGGACACCCCCACATAGAGTGACCCAGCCCCACGTGTAGAGTTGTGCCAAGGTGAATAATAGTAATTAACATTTCATAACAATACGAGCTATTATTATTAATCACATTATTTTAAGTATAATAATTATTTACCCGTTTTACAGAGGAGAAAACTGAGGTCCAGAGAGCCTGTATTTTGGACCCCCAGCCCTTCTCAGGTACATGAATCCTGGCTGCTTCCATAACACCCTGTCAGCTTTGCAAGAAGGAGACCCGGTGCCAAGAGGGGATATAATGAAGACTCAAACCCACAACCCCAAAGACAGGCTCAGACCGCCCTGGGTCCCCATCTCAGCTTGGCCACGCACTGGGGGCCCAGGCTGGCCATGTCACCTGCCTCAGCTCTGTGAACCTGAGATGGGTCCCTCCCTCCTTAGCTGAAGCAGTAAAAATAAGAGTCTCCATGGTGCTCAGAGAAGCACTACCGAGGGTGGTTAGGGGATCTCATCCTGGCTTTGCGAGCCTGGGCACCTCCTGCACTTCTCTGAGCCTCTGTTGGCTCGTCTGTGAAATGGGGCATTCATGTCCTAACTCACAGAGGATGGAGAGGATTAAATGAAGCCGTCCACAGCTTAGCTTGGTGCCTGGGGCACAGTGAGCACGATATAAGGCTTGGATATTGCTATGATTAAAAACATTTTAATGGTGGTAGAATACACATACATAAGCTTACCTTAATTTATCTTAGCCATTTTTAAGTGCACAGCTCAGTGGCGTTAAGTGCATTCACATGGTTGCACAGCCATCCCCACCATCCCTCTCCAGAACATTCTCATCTTGCAAAACTGAGACTCGGTCCCCATGAAACACTGACTCCCCATCCCCTGACCCAGCCCTGGTGCCCACCACCTACTCTCTGTCTCTGTGGATGGGACGCCTCGAGGGACTTCCTAGAGGTGGAAGTGGACAGGAATGTTCCGTTTGAGATTGGCCTACCTCAGTTACCGTAACATTCTCGAGGTTCATTTATGTTGTAGTGTGTATCAGGATTTCCTTCCTTTCTAAGGCTGAGTAATATTCCGTTATGTGGATGGGCCACATTTGTTTATCAGCTCATCCATCTGTGGACACTCAAGCTGTGGGACCAGCATGGTGATAATGGAAAGAGTAAGAGTCTAGAAGGATATTAAAGGCGGATCCAATGTGAGAGCAGAGCCACCTGGGAGGCCGCTGCCGTGATCATCCAGGTAAGCATTGATGGTGGCCCGGATTCAGGTGGTGGCAGGGGAGATGGAGAGAAGTGGACAGGTTAAGCAGTTACTTAGGAAGTAAAACAGGACTTGGGAGAATAAAAGGCTGAGGCGGGGTCTTCATAGACATGGGGAGCTGAAGACAGAACAGGTGGGGTAGGGGTGGGGAGAAGACGAGATGACAGGTTTTGTGTGGCTGCATTGAGTCCATGTCCCTGAAATGTCCAAAGGCCTCCATAAATGTAGCTACTTGTATGGTAAGAGTAGACTAGTGGCTCTCAACTGAGAGTGATTCTGCCCGCCCAAGGGATTCTTGGCAGCGTCTGGAGAAATTTCTGTTCTCACAACTTGGGGGATGCTACTGGCATCTAGTGGGTGAAAGCAGGAGATGCTGTTCAACATCCTACAATGTGCAGGATCGTCCCCCATAAAAGAAACATCTGACCCCAAATGTCAATGTGCAGAGCTGGAGGAATCCTAGGGTAGACCATGGGCTGAAAGAAGCAATTGTCAATTTCAGCAGCTGTTGTTTATTCAATAAAGTTTTATTCCTTGTCTTTGCAACAATCAAGTTTCCTGGGCAGCTCCCCTTCAAACATTCCACCCCAAGCAGCTGGCAAAAAAAGGAAAGAGAGAACAAGACTCCTGTGGCAAGTTTTTAATGGATCTGGCCTCAAGTGACTTAACATCACTGGGCCAGATCAATCACATGGCCACACCTGGCTGCATGGGATGCTGGGAAATGTAGTCTAGCCATGTGCCCGGGAGGAAGAAGGAAAGTGTGATGTGACTAGAGCTAGTCCTTGCCGTGGTGTTATTGTCCTCGTTATTTCTGTTATTATTTAGATCTGTCATCTGCAGAGATGACCCTTGAAAGTCATGCATGTTTCAGGACCTGGTAGAGGAGGGTGAGAGGTGCTGCCTGGTATGGCTGGAAGGCTTCCTGAAAGAAGGGGCATGGATGATGTGGCTTTGAAGAAAGCAGACGCCAAAAATCTGAGAAGTGGGAGAAGAGTAAGAATGGTGTGGCATCAGGAAGTCATTCCTTCATTCCTGACCATGCAGATCCTTGTAGGCCAGGGTGAGTGCCATGGGGACCCAATGGGCTGAGGTGGCCTGATTTGTGCTGAGAGTCTTCTAGTTGCTTGAGGAATCAGATCACCAGGTAAAATACAGGACACCCAGTTAACTTGGAATATCAGATAAACAACAAATGATTTTTTAAGCCTCAGTATATCCCATATGCTAAAATAGTATTGTCCATCTGAAATGCAAATTTAATGGGGCATCCTGGATTTTTATTTGCAGGGAGGACAGAATGTAGCAGACAGGTCAGGTGCAGGTGACTGATGATCATGGATGAGACATGGGCAGATGTGCAAGCCCTGTGTTGGAAGAACTTTGGCTTCTACCCTGAGTGAGGTGAGGTAGCCCTGAGAGGCTGTGAATGTAGGAGGGCCATGCCCTGACTTGGGTAAGAGGCCCCCGCAGACCCAACCCTGGCACTTGGCAACCACCTGCCCCTGTGGATTGCCCCAGCCCAGCATCTTTCCCCTTCAACAGTGCTGACATTTGGGGCCAGATCATTCTCTTTTTTTAAAGTTTTTATTTTAAATTTCACTTAGTTAACATACAGTGTAATATTAGTTTCAGGTGTACAATATAGTGATTCAACATTTCCATACATCCTCCCCTGCTCATCACAGCAAGTACATGACTTAATCCCCATCACCTATTTAACCCATCCACCGACCCACCTCCCCTTTGGTGACCATCTGTGTGTTCTCTGTATTTAAGAGTCTGTGGGGGCCAGATCATTCTTTTTCTTTTAAGATTTTATTTATTTATTTGAGAAAGAGCGAGGGCGAGAGCACAAGCAGGGGGAGCTGCAGAGGGAGAGAGATAAGCAGGTTCCCGGCTGAGCAAGGAGCCCCACTTAGGGCTCCATCCCAGGACCCTGGGATCATGACCTGAGCCAAAGGCAGACGCTTAACCCACTGAGCCACCCAGGCTCCCCAAGGGGACAGATCATTCTTAATTGTGGGGGGCTGTCCTATTCACTGTGGGATGTTGAGCAGCATTCCTGACCCCCACCCACTCAATGCCAGGAGCACTTTCAGTCGTGACAACCACAAATGTCCCCAGACATTGTCCAGTGTCCCCTGAGGGGCAGGATCCCTTTGGGTGAAACCCACTGGGTTAGGGGATTCTATGGACCCCCAGGAGACTACATTCCATAACCATCTGACCGACTGAGGATATCCTGGGATACTGCAAATATTTAAATACACACACTGAGTGGGAGGGAGAGAGGAGGGAACTCACAGACACTGCAGGGTCACCCTGGTTTCCTCCACTTGATCCATTGGGGATTTATTCTGGTATTTAGTGTGAGCTAGGGATCAAACTGAATTTTTCCCCCAGATAATGAATGCACGTTTTCTCCCTCTTGGAGCTATGGACCTTTGGGGCCGGATCATTCTGTGGGGTGAGGCCAGCCTGGGCATCGCGGGACAGTGAGCAGCATCCCTCCCTGCTCACCCAATGCCAGGAGGAGCCCCTGTTCCCCTTGGTCGTGAAAACCAGGACCACCAGACTTTGCTAGTGCAGCTGGAAGGCAGAATCGCCCCAGTTGGGGACCCTGGGTCAAGGCACTGTAAGACCCCAGCACGGAAATGGGTCTGGAGCCCTAACCAGGGAGGGGGCTACTGGAAGACCTTGTCAGTTCCCTTCATCTTCTCCTGGCCTTCAGTAAACTATCTGGGGCCGGGAGAAACTGATGCCTAAGTGGCTGCATTGTGGGAAGTTTCAGACACGTGCCATCCACACCCCGGCCCATCTGAAGCCCATCTGTGCCAGACAAAAAAAGGGCTGCCCATAGAGTCTGATAAAGCTTTTAATATTTAGAAGTTTGGGCACTTAATTCTGGCACTCCTGGCTCTTGGGAGATGCTGCCCCCTCCAGCCGTGGGCAGCTGTCTGGGTCCACAGGGGCACTGGTGATGATGATGGGAACCTTGGCCTTCACACTGGTCAGGGACCAAGGCAGGTGGACTGTGCTGACCAGCTCGTAGTGGGTACTCATGATCTCGCCGTCCCGCATGCCGCTGCTCACGGACAGCACCTGCGGGAGGTTGAGGGTGCTGACGATCTTGGTGGTGTTGAAGGGCGTGATCTGAGTGTTGGCCTCCTGCCGGAGCAGCTCACTGCTGTCCACCCGAGACCGCCGCTCCGCACTGGGGGTGAAGCCCTCATATTGCACGTGGATGTAGAGGGCGAAGGTGACCGTCTTGATGCACTTGCTGGTCTGGTTGTGGATCTCCGTGGTGAAAATGACCCTCTCCCCTGGCGTAAAAGTGTTCTTTTCCATCTGGATTTGGAGGCAGATGGTGCCCTGGCTGCAGCAGTTGTAGGAGACCTTCTTCTCAGCCTCCACCAACAGAGGGTTCTAGAAGGGGGGATGGACAACTGTGAGGGATGGTGGCCACAAGATCTGCTCGCCTGCCTGACATTCCTCCATCAAAGCTCCTGCAAACCTTGAGCTTTTGGGACTCTCCTAAGTAAGAGGCACTGAAATAGGATCTGGAGCCTTGGGGATTTGGCAGCCAAAAGCCTGGCATGATCTCCCGGCTTGCCTTAATCAATACCCTTCGCCTTTCTGAGTACCAATTTCCTCATCATAAGCCTAAGAAATCCACAAGACCCTAGCTTGACCCTCACTTCCCATGCTCACTTGCTGTGTGACCTTGAGCAAGTGCCTTGACTTCTCTGGGCCTTGGTTTTCTAGAAGACAGGAAACGTCTCACAGTCTAAGCCCAAGACTTGGGGCTTACCCAGGCAGTTCAGACTTTAGGAGAAAATATTATGGGCTCTGAATCATGAAAGGAAAACCATAGAGTTGAAAGTATGTAGTGTGTTTAAATAAATGCCGCAAAATGCAGCCATTCTATCAACGAGTCAGCTGCTGATTTGCAAATAAAGTCACACATACGTTATATTTAATGAGTGGCTTCGGTGACATTTTACTTTTTATTTGTGGATAATATGTTAAAGGATTTGATGTGATGTGGCCGGGGGCAGGGGGGCTTAGAATGATCACTCTCCACTTTTGCTGGCTTCCGGTGTCTCCTTGCAGAGAAACTTGATACTTTTACGAGCGTGTGTGTGTGTGTGTGTGTGTGTGTGTGTGTTCTTTCAGCATACCGAGAGAGAGAGAGAGAGAGAGAGAGAGAGAGAGAGAAAATAGTGTGAAAAATACTGCTCAAACTCCCCTCCCACTTCCCATTAGTGACATCAAGTTGTTCACTTGAAATTGGCCCTGATGGGTGTTATTTTCACCAGGGAAATTGGGAAACATCACGGCTGCCCCACACCAGAGCTGGTTATTAACCATTTCTTGGCACAGCCCTGCCATATTCCTAAGACCCGCTTCATCAGCATTTACAAATTCTCCTGATTTGTTTCAGATCTCTGCTCATTTACAAAATAAGATTGCAGGGGCGCCTGGGTGGCTCAGTTGGTTAGGCAACTGCCTTCGGCTCAGGTCATGATCCTGGAGTCCCGGGATCGAGTCCCGCATCGGGCTCCCTGCTCGGCGAGGAGCCTGCTTCTCCCTCTGACCCTCCCCCCTCTCATGTACTCTCTCTCATTCTCGCTCTCTCAAATAAATAAATAAATCTTTAAAAAAAAATAAGATTGCAGAGTTGCACAACCATGTGAATGTACTCAACACTAATGGTTAAGATGGTAAATTTTATGTTATGTATATTTTGCCACAATTTAAAGTAAAAACATGAGAGATCTGGTTGAAGGCCCCACGGATCCCCTCCCTAATGCCATCCCCTTATACTCCTTGGCTCCCTTTGTCCCGAATTGGGGGTTTATTATATCTGGATTTTTAAAAAAGATTTATGTATTTATTTGAGAGAGAGTGAGCACAAGCGGGAGGGCAGAAAATTCTGCCTCTATCTGGTTGAGACCCATCATGGGATTGCTCTCGGCCATGAGTTGGTGAACTTTTTCTGGAAGGAACTGATGATAAATATTTTAGGCTTTGCAGGCCACACACAGTTATGTGTCATATACTATCCCTTTTTTTTTTTTTTTAATCACAGCTCATGGTTAAAACATAGATTTTAGTATCGTGGCAAAGAACACAAATCTGTATTTTCATCTGCATCGAGATCTATGAAAGAAATATGTTTCATGAACTACTACTTATGCCTGCTGGTACATTCTGCTTTATTCCATTTATTGTATGCATTTAAAAATGTTCATTGTGGGGTGCCTGGGTGGCTCAGTCGGTTGAGTATCTGTCTTGGGCTCAGGTCATGATCCGGGAGTCCTGGAATCAAGCCCCACATCGGGCTCCCTGCTCAGCGGGGAGCCTGCTTCTCCTTCTGCCTCTCAGTGCCTCAAAATGCAGCCATTCTATCAACTAATCAGCTGCTGATTTGCTCCCCCTATTTGTGCTCTCTATCAAATAAATAAATAAATAAAATCCTAAAACAATATATTCATTGCAACCCTCTGGATTTGTTTTCCTGTTATGTTTAGTCTTTCTTTTTCTATTATTTTGCTTTATATAAAACCAACATTTTGTAAACATTAGCTGGTTGTAACCCACCAAATTAATTTTGTTCTGATAAATTCTATATTCGACTTATTCACAACTATTATATCCTGTCCAACACATTGATGTTATAAAAACAAAGCTGTTGCAACCCACCGTATTTATATTTTGTTCTATTCTTTCTTTTTTTTTTTTTTTTAAAAAGTTGATTGCAAGGGGCACCTGGGTAGCTCAGTCGTTAGGCGTCTGCCTTCGGCTCAGGTCATGATCCCAGAGTCCTGGGAGCCATATCGGGTCCCTGCTCGGCGGGAAGCCTGCTTCTCCCTCTCCCACTCCCCCTGCTTGTGTTCCCTCTCTCGCTGTCTCCCTCTCTGTCAAATGAATAAATAAAATCTTAAAAAAAAAAGTCGATTGCAAGCCACCAACCATATTTTCTTCACTTCCTGTTCTACTTATTTTATTCTCTGTTCTGTTTTCTTATTCTATTGAAAAAAAAACACACACAATGTTTGCAACCCACAAAATTAACTTTTTTTTCTGATATTTTCTAGTTTGGTCTTGCGTATTCTTTCATTTTATACAAATATACTTGCACCCCGCTAAACTGATTTTGCAACCCATGATCTGGTCGTGACCTGAGGTTTGAAAAACACTGCTCCGGATTGGATGCCTTTCCTCTTGGGAGACCTGGGGCTGACCCCTGACACCAGGTGACCTCACCTCTACCTTTTGCCTCTAGCCCCCTTGCCTCCTCAGCGGTCCCCTCCCTCCCTCTCCTCCAGGAGGCTAATTGCAGGCAGTTTTATTCTAAATCCCTCCAGTCTTATTCGAAAATTCCTCGCATGCGTTAGGACCCTGCGGGCATTGAGGAACTTGCTGCCCTAACTCAAGGCCAAGCCGGTAGTCCTGGCCTGCACCTGAGACAGGGGCCCAGCAATTCCAACAGTGGCCCAGTGGAGACTCCCTCCCGAGGTCAGGCAGGGTGGCCAAAGCGCCCTGATTCCCAATAATGTCGGGGATACACACCCAACACTGGATTTCCTGGATCTGGGAGTGTTTGGGAGCCCCGCATTCCTTTGGCATGTGTGAAGCTTTGGGGGGATTCACCCAAACAGTATTTATTGTTGTCCTCTTGGTGACAAGTCCAAGGAAAACCCATAGCAATTAAGACCAGCCTGGTCCCTGCTCTGGCGAAGGGGCGGGGAGGGGAGGGGAGACGGACACACAGTCGGCTCACTGAAAATGAAACAGGTCATTTCTGATACGGACAGTGATGAGGTTGTGGCTGGAGGCAAACCAGGGGTGTGAACTAAGGAGAGGTACGGTGGGGATTCCCTTGGAGCCAATGTTTAGGAAATGTCTCTGGGACAAGCTCCTTTCCCAAATAGTACCGACTGTCGGAAGAGACAACACAGTTCTGTCTTTCAAGATTCTAAAGGTACAAAGAGTGGAGAAGAGGTGGGGAAATTGGAGCCCATGTGCAGTGCTGGAGGAAAAGTAAAAACAGTCCAACCACTGTGGAAAACAGGCTGGGGGTTCCTCAAATGTTGAAGGGAGTGTTCATCTGACCCAGCAATTGCACTCCAGGTATCTAGCCAAGAGAAACAAGAAGATACATCCATGCAAACATGTAAGGGAATTTGCAGAGGCGTGATTCACAGTAGCCAAGAAGTGGAAACAACCCAAGTATCCATCAATGCACGAATGGATACACGAAATGGGGTCCAGCTGCGCAATGGAATGTCATTCAGCCGTAAAAAGGGATGAGACACCGACCTATGCTACAAAGGTGAGTGGAATCAGCCAGACGCAAAAAGCGTCCATATCGTGCAATTCCGTTTCCATGAAACGTCCAGAACAGGCAAATCCATAGAGAGAGGAAGGGGATTCGTGGTCACCACGGCCTGGGGGAGGGAGTGTGGGGAATTCGAGGGGTGAGAGCTAAGGGATCCAAGATTTCCTTTTGGTGTGATGACAGTATTCTAAAATCGACAGTTGGTGATGGCCACACAACTCTGTGAACACACGGGAAGTCATTCAGTTGTACACTTTCAATGGGTAGATTATAAGATACGTGAATTATAGCTCAATAAAGCTGTTGAAAACAATTGGAAGGGGAACATGTTTGCTCCTCCTAGCTCCCCGGCTCCCCTCCCAGGGGGGCATGTCTGTTGCTAGTTTCTGTGATCTCCTTCCGGACACGTTTGTTACACCTGCAAGGAAGTACGTTTCTCGCTTGTTCTGAACTTTGCTGTGCTCACTGAACCCAGTGACTTAGTAGAGGTCCTGATGCTAAGAGCTGCCTTGTTCTGCCTCTGTTTCTCTCTAACTTACCTATAGCGCATTCCTTTGAATATTCCTTTGCTACTTTAATTCCCTTAGCAATGAACATTTAGGCTGATTCCAATTTCTTGCCGCGAAAACACTGCTGTGGGACGTCACAAGTGAAAGAATATCAGTAGGAGAAATTTCTAGAAGGGAAATGGTTGGGGCAAAGTGCATGTTCATTTTAATTTGAATAGATACAGCTAAATTGCCCTCTGTTGGGGTTGTGAGAGTTTACTTAGCCACGTGAGTGCCTACATGGCTTCTGAACAAAGATCTGAAGGAGGAGGGGGAAGGATAGGAAGGTCATATTATAGTGTTCCAGGTGGAAGGCAACAGCCTATGCAAAGGCCCTGGGGCAGGACCAGGCCTGGTATATTGGAGGGAACAGCGAGGAGGCCTGTTTGGCGGGAGCAGAGAAAGCGAAGGGGAGAGGGGGCAGGTCATGCAGGGCTCTCTGGACGGGGGGTACTTTGGCCTTTACCCTGAATGAAATGGGAGACCGGGAGGGCTGTGGGCGCAGAGGAAGGTCACCACCTGACTGTCTCTGGCTGCTCCGAGGACAGACTGTTGGAGGTCAAGACTCTGCCTCTACCCAGGGGTGCCTGGGTGGCTCAGTTGATTAAGTGTCTAACTCTTGGTTTCAGCTCAGGTCATGATCTGGTGTTTGTGGGATTAAGCCCTATGTCAGGTTCTGAGCTCAGCATGGAGTCTCCTTCAGATTCTCTCTCCCTCTCTGCTCTTCCTTCTGCTTGCATGCGCTCTCTCTCTCTCTCAAATAATTTTTATAAATCTTAAAAGACACTGCCTCGGGGTGCCTGGGTGGCTCAGTTGGTTGAGCGACTGCCTTCAGCTCAGGTCATGATCCTGAAGTCCCGGGATCGAGGCCCGCATCGGGCTCCCTGCTC